TGGGCCTGTTGCAGTTGGAAGGGGTAGCCAAAGGCAAAGGTGGTGTCCTGCAGCCGTGTGTTGGCCTCCAGCTCCACCCCAACCTGCACCTGGGGAGGAAAACATGAGGTCCTGAGGGGACAGGGACAGAGAGGGGATGGGGACGCACAGAGGACAGGGACAGAGGAGGGATGCTCACCTGCTCGTTGGCTCGGTGGTAGTAGCTGGCGTGGGCTCCGCCATACCCCACGTTCAGTGTTGCCACCCACTTCTGAGCTGGAAGAGAGAAGCAAATTGGAGGCTGAGGGGAGCTGGGGTGTCCCGCAGGGCTGGCAGAGTGTCCAGGACCCCTGTGGCCATGCCCACGGCCCCCTGCAGCGCAAGGCGCCCACCTACCTGTGTATTTTCCGGCCAGTGTGAGGATGGCTCCCTCCCCCCCCGGCCGCCGGTGATAAACCATCTCCCCACCCAGGACCAGGTGGGGGGTGATGCTCTGAAGGAAATGGGCCACCAGGATCACTGTGGGGACAGCAGGGCTTCAGAACATGCCTCCCCAGCCCAGCAGCTGTTGGGGGAGGACACCCAGCTTACCAGACTCGCCGAGGAGGTCGGGGTTGCCCAGTGTGAGGGTGGCAGTGCAGTCGTCCCCCCGGTACTCGCCATCAAACTGCCACGTCACGAACTTGGCCTGGTGTGTCTGTAAAGGGACAGCCACCATGGGGGTCCTGCCACCATCCCTGCCACCCCCAAAGGGTGACCAAAACCTCCCCACTCCAAGGTCTTCTCCCACCCAGTCCTACCTGGAATACAGCTTTGGTGCGGATGCGCTCGGCCACGAGCTGCAGCACTTGGGCATTGAGGCTGCCGCTGTTGTCCAGGTCCCCGACCAGTGTGGGGAAGGCCTGGGGACAGCGGGGGGGTCAGCTGGAGGGACAGGGACCCTCTAGCCCCTGTCTCCAGCTTCAGCTGCAGGCTAGGACCCCCAGGTAACCCCCACCCATCCTGCAGCCACTCCAGGGCCACTCAGAGTCCCAGGGCCACCCAGGCCACCCCGGGGCCAGCCGGGTGTGCAGGGCCTCACCTCGGTGGGGCTGAGCTGACGGTCCCCCACGAAGGTGGCGTTGAAGTGGTAGCTGGAGGGGCCAAGGGTGCTCATGTGCACGGTGTGCATCACCTGAGGGAACAGGGCATCAGTGGGGGGCAGGGGGCGGCCAGGGAGGGTGTAGTCCCCCAATATCGGCTCGTGACAGAGGGGCAACGTTCCCCCAGCACAGCCCCATGGGTCCCTGAGTGTCCCTCTCACCTGGAAGTGGCTGCTCAGGATCTTAGTGACGATCAGCTTCACTCCCTCCATCTGCTGTGGGAAAACCTCTGGGGGGGAGAGCAGGGGCTGAGGTG